GGAAATTAAGTTACTTTCATTTATTAATTTCGTGGTGAAATAATACAAATACCTTCAATAGATTATTGAGATCGTTTTTGATTTTTTTTTTAAAAATGTCTTTGATTAGATCATTTGAAACTTAATTATGCAAATGTTGAGAGACTCGTCTCAAGACAAAGATGACACAGTAATGGGATTGGTCTTCTTTTAGCAAGCAATCGACTCTATTATTGGCAATTACCTCTTGAATATGTGAGAAGTGAGTCGGCGTATTTATATTCCTTTATTCACATCGACTTTATGTCAAGTTTGATACAAATGTTACTATTTATTGCATGTTGATCGAATCGGCCAAAAAAAATTAATTATATTAATGATAATAATTCATTCATGTAACAACTGACAAATCATGTCAAACAAGCTCATTGTAAACCAATGACGATAATCCCTTGAGGGCTCTATGATTCAAGAATTTGGAATGTTACACACAATTCGTATGGACACCATAACAATGTGCAACTTTACTGCATAGTGACTTTCCGTTTTACTCTTATAATGGTTAGTTAGCTTTGATCTATTAATTTCGTTGTGAAATAGTTCAAATATTTCCGGCAATTATTGGAGACATTTTTTAGAATATAATTGCGTTTGATTGGACCATTTAACATTTGACTATGCAATAATATTGGTTTCGAGGCTTGTCTTGCTACAAGGATGACATGATCTCGGTTGGGAGTTCGTTATATGATTTTTAACTTTAATAGATAGTTTTTTAACAAATGGTTGACTCTATTATTGACACCTTATATATGTATTATGATAATCATTAAAGTTCAAACAAATTTCATGGAGGAGTAATTGAAGTACACATGGAAACTGGTGTTAAAAATCATAGTGGAAAGGATGAAATTAAAGAGAATTTTGTTGATATTCTGCTTAGGATTTACGAGGACAACAAGGCTGGTGCTTCCATTGATAGAGATACTACCAACTCAATAATTTTGGTAAGTGACACATTTTTATTCATTTGAGTTTTATTTTCTACACATTGCTAACGATATGCATTTTATCAAAACACCCGCATAATAACGAGTGTCAACAAGACTTGATCTTAGGATTTTTGTTGGCTCGGATTCTGATTACCATATTAAACCATTCGTCTTAAGTTGAAGCAAATAGAAATGGTGCACACATATTTCTTAAACTTCATCGTCAACATCCTCTCTTGCCCAAGCCAGATTGATTTGTTTTTATCAAAATGCTAAAGGCGCATAATTTCCATGAATAAATAGGTGGTATTAATCATTAAATTCGAGATTTTTTTCTACTTTGATTTGAAACTTCATCTAACAGCTTATATCAACGTTCATTATCTCGACCTTGCATTTTTCAACTTTCTTTATTATTTCAGGATGTCTTTGCTGTTAGAACAGATACCTTATTTGTAGTTCTAGATTGGGGAATGACAAAGTCAGGCACCCCAAGAGTCATGAAAAAGTTGCAAACTGAGGTAAGGGGAATTCTCAGGACATAACAGATGCTGACTTAGAAAAAATGCATTATTTGAAAGTGTAGTGAAGGAAACTCTACGATTCCACACCCCAATCCCATTAATGATTGCTCAGGAAGCAAGAAAAGATGTTAATGTAATGGGCTATGACATTGCAATCGGGACAATGGTCATGACCTGTTGGATATTGGTTAAATAAATCGAGAATTGAAAATCGATTAAAGTGACTTCGTATCGACTTCGACCAAATACTCAAAAGCTCGACTCAATCCGTTTAGGCAAAATTGTTTGCCACTTCGCCGTTTCGGGGTGCATAAAGGGGGATCGACCTGCCCGGTCAGATCGAGGGGGCAGCGCCCCTCGTGGGGGCTCGCCCCCAAAAGAAAATTTTGATTTCTCTGCATGTATTGAAGGGTATATTTGACATTTCGAAAAATCAATATCGGATGAATGAGAAATTACGAAAAAGGACGAAAATCAGGTCAAAATATTTGACCGTGCGACCGCACGGTTGTTCGATGAATAGACACATTTTCATAAAGGTGCATTGCATTGTTTGGAAAGGGTGCATGGTTTGGCCTCAACCACCTTTTCATAAAGGTGCATTGTTTGGAAAGGGTGCATGGTTTGGCCTCAACCATTTCGTCAACACCCTTTCATGGTCTATAAATAGGACCCTTTGGGTGTCCTATTCCTCACAATTTTGATATGCAAAAAAAGTCTCTCATCCTCTCTTCTATCCAAAATCAAAATCATTTCATTTATTTTGATTTTCCTTCATCCTTGGAGTACATAAGCCTAAATTTGGTTCGTTGTACTTGTGTTTTGGAGTGCTACAAACACAAGTGTAGCCGTTGTATCTTGGGAGTTGATTGCCGAAATCCGTAGGCACCGTTGCGGGGCAAATACGACTTAAGGACAAAGAGTCCAACTCTTGCCTCGACTTTGTCCCTAACCATCATTATACTTATTTTGGCGTCACTATTCGCAAAATTCTTCCAACAATCTTAAGTCCAATCTTTATATATATTTTGTGAAAGTGACATTCTTGTTTGGTTAAACTTGTTAAGTTTAACTTCTTCTTCACTTCTATTTTTGGTTGATCTTCTGTTTTATGTAAACAAAAATGAATACGGTTCTTAATACCGATATTACTTCGAATGAAACTTCGAACATGGAAACTTCTGAAGGAAGTGTTCCTACTAATGTGATTCCTCCGGTTGTGGGTGCCCCTACTATCGTACATTCAAACTCCGTTTCACATGGGGAAAAGCAGGATAAATTGGTTGGGGTTGATTTCAAAAGGTGGCAACAGAAAATGTTGTTTTATCTCACAACCCTCAACTTGGCGAAATTCTTGAATGAAGATCCTCCCGCCATACAAGAAGGGGAAAACAATAGGGTATCTTTGATTACTTTGGATGCATGGAAACATTCGGATTTCTTATGCAAGAATTACATTCTTAATGGCTTAGACAACGCCTTATACGATGTATATTGCTACAAGAAATCTGCAAAGGAACTATGGGAGTCCTTGGAAAAGAAGTACAAGACCGAAGATGCAGGAACCAAGAAGTTCATTGTGGGAAAATTCTTGGACTACAAAATGGTAGATTCGAAGACCGTCATCAGTCAAGTGCAAGAATTGCAAGTCATACTCCATGACATTCATGCGAAAAATATGTCCGTGAGCGAATCATTTCAAGTGGCTGCAATTATCGAGAAACTTTCACCCATGTGGAGGGACTTCAAAAATATCTCAAGCACAAGCGCAAGGAGATGAACATTGAAGAACTTGTGGTCCAATTGAGGATTGAAGAAGACAACCGAAGTTCGGAAAAACGAGTTGGGAATAGCATACCACAAGCAAAGGCAAATGTGGTGGAATCTAGCAACAACAAAGGAAAGAAGAGAAAACATTCCGTTGAATCTACAAAGAAGAATGCAAAGAAGTTCAAGGGCAATTGCTACAATTGTGGAAAGGCTGGACATTGCTCGGTTGATTGTTGCAAACCTAAGAAGCAATCCCAAGCCAACATTGTCGAATCTGATGCCATATCAAATGGCATGTCCGATATGAATTTATCGGCAGTTGTTTCTGAATGCAACCTTGTTGGAAATCCCATGGAATGGTGGGTTGATACGGGTGCAACCCGTCACATTTGTGCCGATAGAGGAATGTTCACATCATACACTCCAACTGAGGGAGAAAAATTATTTATGGGGAACTCCTCAACATCCAAAGTGGAAGGACAAGGCAAAGTGGTCTTGAAGATGACGTCGGGAAAAGAACTTAGCCTCAATAATGTCCTTCACGTACCGGATATTCGCAAGAACCTTGTGTCGGGTTCTTTGTTAAGCAAGAATGGCTTTAAACTAGTTTTTGTATCGGATAAGTTTGTACTTACCAAAAATGATATATATGTAGGCAAAGGCTATGTAAAAGATGGACTATTCAAAATGAATGTCCTATGCTGTATCAATAAAACGTCATCTTCAGTTTATATTCTTGAGTCGTGTAATTTATGGCATCATAGATTAGGACATGCAAACTTTAATTCAATACGAAAGTTAATGAATTTAAGTTTACTTCCGAATATGCATTTTAATAATGGAAAATGCGAAACATGTGTAGAGGCAAAAGCGGCCAAAACACAATTTCATTCGGTTGAACGAAACACCACACCATTAGAACTAATTCACACGGATGTGTGTGATTTGAAGTTCGTACAAACAAGGGGTGGTAAAAAGTACTTCTTCACATTCATAGATGATTGTACAAGGTACTGTTATGTGTACTTGTTGAAAAGTAAAGATGAAGCTTTGGAAGTGTTTAAACACTACAAAAATGAAGTTGAAAATCAACTTAGAAAACGAATTAAAATGATTCGTAGTGATAGAGGTGGAGAATATGTTGTACCGTTTGAAGAATTTTGTGCAGAATCTGGAATAATTCATCAAACAACGGCACCATATTCACCACAATCTAATGGAATTGCTGAACGCAAAAATCGAACGTTAAAGGAAATGATGAATGCAATGTTGATTAGTTCGGGCTTACCTCAAAACTTGTGGGGGGAAGCCATACTTTCTGCAAATCATATCCTTAATAAAATACCACACAAAGATAAGGTTGAATCACCTTACGAATTATGGAAAGGTCGGAAACCTTCCTACAAATATCTCAAAGTGTGGGGGTACTTAGCGAAAGTACAAATACCCAAACCTAAACAAGTTAGGATTGGATCAAAGACAATTGATTGTGTCTTTATTGGATATGCTATCAATAGTAGTGCATATCGATTCTTGGTTCACAAATCCAAAAGTACTTGATGTACACGTAGGTACAATTATTGAATCAAGAAATGCGATCTTCTTTGAAGACAGTTTTCCGTGTAAAGAAAAG